TCCTATGACACTCTGCACAGAAAACTCAGGACTCTGACAAATTTGCAATCTGACCAAACATTGTTAAGATTATCATTTCTGCTAACATAACCTTTATTTTATTTGTTTCACTAGTTTCATAACAAGGCATGTTAATGGTTTGTCATAAGACTGGGGTGAGTTCATGCTAGATTGACCTTTTCTAACTTGAAAAGGCCCAGACTTGTAGGAAACCTGTCCTCCTCAACCCTTAATCACTGGAGTTGGGGGATGTTTGTTATTTTAGACAATTAATGCACCTCATGACTCATCTGAACTGTACAGAATTCCTCTGCTAACCAAACATTTCCTCTAGCTCGGACAGTAACTGTTTTCCCTCCTGTCTTTCAGTACAGGGCAAGCATGGTTTGCAGGGAACTTTGCATGGGGAACCATTTTGCTCCATTTCACTCTATTTTTTGTTTGCATGTTTGTTTTGAATGCTGAGAATTCTCCACATAATTACATAGTTTCAGGTCAGGGCACCCCACTAGAAAACTTGCTCTGCAGCTTACTTAATATGATGGTTAGTGTAAAATGAACTCCTTAGATCAGGGGTAGGCAACCTTTTTGAGCTGGGGGCCGGGTTGCTGTTCCTCAGATAATTGGGGGGCCGAAGCACCATAAATAAATAAATAAATAAATAAATAAATAAATAAATAAATAAATAAATAAAATATTTTTTAAAAAATTAAAAATTAAAAAAATATGCATGCACACTTTCTCAGCCCCAGAAAAGCCATGGCAAAACCCCTGTGGAGATTTTTCCAAGAAAAACCCCAAGAACAAGTAATAACAACAATGATCAATATCATCATGGCGGTGGGGGGCGGCGGCGGCAGGACTGGCCTGGGGCTGGTCCAAAGGCCTCAGGGGGCCACATCCGGCCCCCGGGCCTTAGGTTGCCTACCCCTGCCTTAGCTAATGGCAACTGTAGGCATTCTTTCAGAACCTCCAGGTATATGTACTTTCTTAGGGGTTGCTTGGCCCCAAATAGCACTTGATGTCATTACTTATCCTCCACTTTTGGTCCTACAGATGCTTTGGATTCCAGTGCCCCAAATCCCTGACCATTGATTATGCCTCCTGAGCCTTCTGGGATTTGGAGGTCCAAAAAAACTGGAGAATCAAAGGTTGAGAATCAACAGTGTAGAGGTAGATCCTGTCCCACTGGCAATCATATTAGGTGGCATCTTCTCATCAAAGTGAGCCAGCATGGTGTAATGGTTTTTTGAGTGTTGGACTATGATTCTGGAGACCAGGGTTCAAATCCTGGTTCTGCCATGGAGACCAGGGTTCAAATCCAGGTGACCTTGGACAAGTCACACTCTCTCAGCCTCAGAGGATGGCAATGACAAACCCATTATGAACAAATCTTGCCAAGATAGGTTTGTCATAGGGTTACCATAAGTCAGAAATGACTTGAAGACACACAACAACAACCTTCCCATTATGCTGCAGTGAGGGAGAGAACAAGTATAGGACTATCATCAATTCTGCAGAGAAAAACAGCTTCATCAGGCTTCTCCTTTCATCAGCTATCATGTAGCTGCAGCCAGTGTGAGGAAAAGGAGCAAATGTAAACAGGACCACCCTATTCTGCTTGTCCAGCTCCCAGACTAACAATCATTGGCTCCTCTCTTTTTTGAACTTTTTCTGTTTCATTTGGTTAATTCATTAATCCATTTTTAAAAATTCTCACATACTTTAATTAGTCTCATATGTTTTACTTACCGTAATTATTATTTTCATAACTATTTATTCTAAATTAATTGTTCTCATGTAATTTCACAGCATTATTATCCATTATTCTCATAATATTAATCATTCTCATTTATCTTTTTAGGCTGCCTTTAAGGGGAAACTGATCTCAAGGAGGCTCTGTAAGAATTTAATAACTGAAAACTAGTAGTAGGATGATGTTCTAGGTTGCAGAATATCATCTTATCACTGCTCAGTTCTGGATAGCTACAGCATGCTAATATATTAAATCTCCCTAAAAGTCACTTTACTAACTCCAGTTCAGATAGCTGAATATGTGTTGGCATTTAGTGACTTGGTGTTTGTAGATTTTAGTGACACTAGCCCACAGAAAACTTAGAGTTAATAAAACTCACAGGCATGTGGTTTCTATCTGCTAGCTACCAATGAGTGTACTTCCCCTTGAGATGTTTAGAATGATAGACTGCAAAACATTCAAAATGTAGCACAAAGTACTGTGGCTTAAAGTTCTGAATTGCATCTATAAAGCATGCAAATCAACATGTAAACTAGAAAAGACATAATGTCTTATCACACTTTTAAAAATCTGTAAAGGGATCATGTAGAACCTTTGAGATTGCACTTTATCACACGAGGCATGAAAAATGGACTTTGAGTAGGATAGTAGTGTCTGTGGCCATATCTTATCACACAGTGTTGTGTCTGTCCAGCAGCTGGTCTATAGTCCATCCATTGCTGGAACACTCCTCCTTATTGATGGGCGAAACCCATCAATGTCTGCCAGTCATGCTGCTTTACCACTGTTGATACATGCAATGGCATCACTAGATAGGGTGTCACCCAGTGTGCAGGGCGCCACCCAGAAAGCATTCACATTCACACCTCTTGTTGCTCCACTTTTGGGCTTTGTCTCCAGGAAGGAAGCGTAATGACAGAGCATCCAGGAAGGATGCACACTGACCCATCCTGCACCAAAGGCGAAGGAGTGAGTGTCACCACTTCTCTGGGGTGTCACCCAGTGAGGTCCGCACCCCCGCACCCCCCCATGACATCACTGAATGTATGTGTGATAAGTTCCACCCGAAGCAGTTCAGATATGCAGGCAGTCACATGATGTGAGTGGGCATGATTCTGCTTCTCTCTCCCTCTCCCTAGTCCCCTTTGTTATTCCTAAACAAGCTATTTTTATTTTCTTTCAATTTTTCCCTTTCCCTTTCCCTTTCCCTTTCCCTTTCCCTTTCCCTTTCCCTTTCCCTTTCCCTTTCCCTTTTCTTTTCTTTTCTTTTCTTTTCTTTTCTTTTCTTTTCTTTTCTTTCCTTCCTTCCTTCCTTCCTTCCTTCCTTCCTTAATGGATTGCTGTGATTATACAGTTGCACTAAAAATAAAAATAAAAACAGACCAAAAGGCATGCTGGGAAGGGTATAGGGCAGGGAGGCAGCGCTATGGAAATTGGTATGCAGAAGACAGAGGTTGGGATAGAAGCAGCACCATGGTGATTTGGGAGAGCTGTGTGATACTGACTGTTCTCAATCCTGTTGTCGATGTTTGCATTTCCTAGACTAACACAATTATAACACCGTATGAGTCTGGTGTGATAAAATCCCAAAAGAAAAATAAATTTGTAGCATGAGCTTTTGTGGACTTCATTTCATTAGGTACATTTGATACCTGGCATCCACTAAGTGCTACAGGATTCATTTATATCTTTTAATGCAGAAACAGACTAACACTGCTAGGTCTTTTAAAAAGCCTGGTCTATCTTTAACAAGACAGCCTTCCAAATCTTGTCTGTACGCAATATTTTTGTAGGCTTGTGGAATTTTTTGCATGTGTGCACTACTGCAAAACCTTACTTACATCCATCAGAATCCCAAACCTAACATGAGTGGCAGTACACTCTCCACTTTGCATCTTAGCACAAAGCACAGCTGTAAAGTGTTTGACTAGGGCCAGAGCCACAACTTTCTCATCTGTCTAGAATAATTACCATCTCTTACTGATGCACAAAAAATCATTTAAATAAAAACCAGCATTCTCAAATCATTCTGTTCAAGGGGAGGGGAGGGATAAAACCTGGTGTGGTTTTCAAGTTTTCAAGTGAATGGCCCCAGTGTTTTACATTTTCAGCTAAAAGATTTGATGAGTCACAAGATATTTCTGTAAATATTGAAGAAGAAGGAAGAGAAAAAAGAAACAGACTTCACCATTAATTTTCTGGAAAGGACTTTTTTTGGTAGTGTCCAAGGTAATATCGATCATTGAAGAGGTTCTTTTAAGCTACACAGGGAAAGGACAAATTAATGCTCCAGTTATAGCTATTTTTTTCTAATTTAGGAATAATATTAATGTTTTTGAACTCAAATTTGATTTCATTTAGATTTTTTTTAAAAAAAAACTCATTTAATTCAATATGTCAAGTCTTATTAAATGAAAAACGGGCATGACACTGGATGGTCAGATGATACAAGAGAAGTAAACAGGGCCTCATCATTTAGGACATTTGTTTGCATAGTCAGCCCCTGGGCTGTAGGTTGCCAACCCCTGGCCTAAAGTCTCGTGGTAGCACCCAATTCTATGCACATTTATATCCCATTTACTTCCCAGAAAAGGTGTGAAGGATTTGAAATGAGCACAGGAACTCCCAAACATGTGCAATTAGAAACAAGTCCCATTATCTTCCTAATTCTTTTTAAAAGAATGCATGAAGTATCAAGTGTGTATCTGGCCATTTAACCCAGGTTTCAAAGATGGTGACCATAGATAAGAACAGCATAGTATAAAACACACACATGCATACAACTATTACTTCCTAATTGTACAGGGATTCCAGAACTTTTTTTTAAGGTTGAGAGGAGGAGGCTTGGTTTTGGCAGGCAGGTCATTACTAATTTTGCCAATTTGCAGGTACGTTTTTATGAAACAATAAAAACACAAACACATTGAATAACAACAACATCAACAGCCACTATGACCACCGCTGTTCTCTAAACTAGCAAGTAATAATTTGACTACAATGAAAGCAATGGCAAAATAAAATGAACTTTTAAAGTGATTTTCATCTTTTTCATTGCGTTTTATCTTTTTAAGTGTAGGTTTAAATCATTTTAATATTGTGAATAATTTTATTTTATTGTAATGTTCACTTTTTTATAGATGTATTGTTCTTTTTTAAATTGTAAACTGCTTTGAATCCCAGTTTGGGGAGAAAGGTAGGATATAAATAAATATAATAAATAAATTAAAATAGAATAGAATAATAAATGAAATATTACAAAACAGAGTGTATGAAAAAATAAATAAATACAATCATAGAATCATAGAGTTGGAAGAGACCACAAGGGCCATCCAGTCCAACTCCCTAATAATATATCAAGCAAAGAAAAATATGTAAATGAAAATGTAGCATACTCACCACTCTACTTTGTTGTTGTGTGTCGTCAAGCCAATTCTGACCTATGGCAACCCTAAGATCAACCTACCATGAGATTTTCTTGACAATATTTGTTCAAAGGGGCTTTGCATTTGCATTCCTTAAAAGCTGAGAGTGTGTGACTTTCCCAAGATCACCCAGTAGGTTTCATTGGAACTCTGGTCTCCTGGAATCCTAGTCCAACACTCATACCACACTACTGCAGCAAAAATGGTGGGCAAAGGTTAGAAGATACAGAACTGTAGGCAAAACAATCTGAAAAGAAAATGCAAACAGGTATATTTGCTAGAGAATCTAATGCAAAACATGGAATGAGAGTTGTATAGTAAGGTATTTAGGATGGTGAGAACAAAAAGAGATTGTAAAAGGTTTTCAAAGGATCTCTCTTAAAAGGGGGAAGGGGCTTTAAAATTATAAATGAAAATTAAGTGAAAAAAGTATAAAGTGATAGTATTAGGGCAAAATAAAAAATAAAATAAAAATCTGAACTTCATGTATACATCGATGAGATGTGAGCTAGCACCAACAGATCAAGAGATTTGGGTGTTGTGACTGGTATCTGACAATAACAACTCAGCACATTAGACATCATTATAAAAGGAATAAGAAATAAATCTGCCAATATCATACTACACTTATACAAAGCTATGTGTGACCACATCTGGAATGCTGTGTCTACTTTTGGTCATTGCACCTTTTAAAAAAAGGATGTTGTAGACATGGAAATATTGCAGAAAAGAGCAACCAAAAGGACCAAAGGACTGCAGCAACTTCTCTGTTAGGATAGACTAAAATGTTTAGGGCTCTTCAGCTTAGGACAAATGAATGTAAGGTGAGATAAGATAGAGATGTGCAAAGGTATCCTAGAAACTAAATGATGCGAGATTCAGGAAAGATAAAAAATAAGTACACAGACCATAGTTAAAGTGTGGAATCTACTGCCACAGGATGTGATTAGTGGCAACATTAAAAGTGAACTGGATAAATTCATGGAAGATGGGTTCATCAGTAGCTACTAGTCAGGATGGCTGCATATCACTTCTGGTAACAAAGCCAAGAAATGAAAAGAAAACTAGGAATAGGAAGAGCAGCTATGAAAAAAACTATACAAGATCCTAAAGATAGATAACTG